CAATTATCAGAAAGGGAAGAAAAAGTCTATATCCATATCAGCTATACACACAGCTACATATTTTTCCCCTAGCCTGTAAGAAATAAAATTGATTGACTTTCTCACAAGCATGACTTTTAAAAACCCTTGATAAACAGCAGACCGGCACACTTAAATTAGAACAAAGAATACAACTGACATCTCAGAAACCCATCTGTTTTCCTATGTGCTAGAAGTACTGACGTCAAGCATTATATCGTACAGTACACTTAATATCTCCTTGTTGGGGTGCCTTACACCATGGGACTTAAGTTGAAATCAGGAGCTATGAAGCCAATAAACAAAAATAAGTGTTCCTGGTTTTCAAACAAATGCATAATAGTATCAGAGACAGAAATCATAGATATCAAATCCAAACCCAGAACGATTTTCATTTTCTAAGTCATAAAATTTAAAGGTAAATTCAGGATCTTCTAAAATACTAAACATTAAAAGCAAAGATAATTTGAAAAAGCATACTTTGGAGCCTGAGAGTGAAATCTGAGCTCCAAAGTAACAGTATAGATAATCACAAAAGTCATACATAGTAATTTTGCTACATAGCCATAGGCAGGTATCTGAATGCCAGCTTTCTTTCACATCAGAAGTGAATAAAGAAATCACAGGAGATTCAATTTAATAGAAACTATTGCCCTATATCATAGTCATTTTATACGAAGATTAAAAAAAAAGATTATTTTCAATTGCATATAACTATACCTATAGTCACAAATAGTTCTGAACTGATGGGCTTTGTAGTGTCTGTGGCAGCATTTCAACTTGAGAACACGTTTAACAGAAGCAATGGCGAAAAGATTTGTGGATGAATTGGATTTGGAGATAAGCCTTGCAGGAAAGATAGAATTCGAACCCCAAGATGGGTGAGGAGCTGATTTCTGAGAAGAAGAAATACCTTAAACAAATGTTGGAAATTGGGAAAGCAAGAGCCCTGCTCTGCAAATAGTGAGAAAGCCTCTTTACCTAAAGCAGTGTGAGAGGTTTAAAAACAGCTATAAATTCTTTCCCTCCATGGACTTACACCTTGCAATGTCACTTTGCAACAACCCTCAGTCAGGGGTGGGGGTCTGTTTCTCTTCCTCTTTAATATAGTTGGCCTTATAACTTGCCCATAGAATGCAGCAGAATTAACTTGGTTATTTCCAAACTTAGGCCTCAGCAGCCTTGCGTGTTCCAGCGCTCCTGCTGCTGTCCTGTGAGCAAGCCGAGGCTAGCCTGCGGAATGATGGTGTGACCCAGGCAAACCCAGTGCCACAGCTAAGAGCCAGCCAACCAGCAGACTTGGGAGTGGGGCCACGTAGCACCAGACAGCCCCAGGCA